CTTTTATTTATATATATATATACTCTATTTTATTTTTTTTACCTTTTTATAATTTTGTAAATTTGGATAAAATTTTGACTATCGAAAAGAAAAGTCAAAAAATTTTATTTGTAATTTATCATCTCCCATATCGAACGACGAATTTAATAAGTAATTCCTTTACCTTTTATTTTTACAAAAGAATTCAAGGTAAGGATATTTTAAACTTTTATTATTTTACTTTGTTTTATCATATTTTTTTTTAAAAAAGAGAAAGAAAAACGAAAAACGTACCACCGTAACCGGGGAACCATAAAAGAAACTATTTAATTTAATTCTTTTTTAAATCAAATTTATTATTATTATTCTATTATTTCTTTTTAGTATATATATATAAAGTTTTTAACATATTAAACAATCAACGTTAATATATTTTAAAAATAAACAATATTCAAATAAAACTAAAATTAACTATTCAAATTTAAATTTATTTAAATATATAATCAATCAACAGCTAACAAAATATTTTTATCTGGATGGGTTTTAATATAATCTAATCGTCAACATGTTTCATTAAATCATCACAACATTGTAAGTCAAAATTAAAAATTTTCAAGATAAAATTTTTTTAATAAATTAAATTTCCAACATAATTTTTTTTGTAATATTTAAAAATGAAGTTTACGCTTATTTAATTATCTCCCCTTTTTAAGTCCAATATGTTTATAAATGATAAAATCTTTGTTTGTTTACCCCCTTCTGTTGTACATTTAATAATAACACATATTTCACGTAAATATACAAAAGCACATAAATAGAGAAAGATTTTAATTTAACAACATATTGAACTTAAAAAAGGTAAAGCAATAAGATAATACATCCTGTTTATATATTAAAAAGAAATTATGTTTGAAAATTGTACGTGTTGCCACAAAATCTAGAATATTGAACATTTTGGCCAAAATTTAGAAAATTAATAATGTTGATAAAATTTTCTAGTTTCTGAGCAAAGATTGTAATTAGATAATTAAGCATCTTAAATTAATAACTCGTTAAAAATGACGGGCGATTCGGTTTTTTTTCCAGCAGATAATCTCCCAATAATGACGGGCGATTCCAACATTTCTCCTTGATGAATGAATTAAATGTACCTTTATTTTGATGCAATATGATTCCTTAATTTTCTATTATTAAATATGATAATGTCTCCAATATTAAAAATATATAATGATCATCATCAAATAAAGGAGAAAATTCTGATTTCCTATCATTTTTGAAGGGAAAAATAAATGAAAAAATAAAAAAGATACATGCGACATAATCTTATTTGATTCAGAGTTCTGGAGTGCTATTTGACAAAAGAATCCCACACAAATTAAAGGGAAAAATTTACAGTTCCATAGTACAACCAACTATTCTATATATTTCGGAAACATGGCCAACCAAAGAATCAAACGAGAGAAGTCTACAAAAGGATGATTGCTGGGGTAACAAGAAAGGATAAGTTGCGCAGTACAAGAATACTAAATAGTTTAAAGGTAGTGTCCATTAAGACTAATTTAATGGTAAACAGACTTAGGTGGTATGGGCACACAATGAGAAGGCCTATGAACTAATAGGAAATAAAGTTGAAAGTTTGGGAGTGATGGGCAAACGTAAAAGAGGAAGGCCAAAACTTCAATGGGGCCATAAAGTTAGAGCCAATATAAAGAAGTATAAAATAGATAAAAGAGATTGTATGAATAACATAAAGTGGAGAGAGATGTTGAAGGAGCTTACCACCAGAAAAGGTGAAAAAAAAACAATATATATATTTACAAGTTTGCTTTAAAAATTTTCAAAAAGGTTCACAAATAATGATTGACAATTGACACTTTTTTATGGTCATCTTTACTGAAATTTTAATATAACATGTTTATAATATATATTTTTACTTATTTTCTTTTATCTCATTAATTTTTCCGACGATAACATCCTCAAAAATTTTAAATAACAAATAAAAGTTGTTAATTAGCTTGCCCATTGTTAAAATTTTTCAAAGGTCCGTTAGCACTTTTTAAATTATTTAGCTAGCCAGCCCAATTTGATAGAAGGGCGTGGGCTAAAAACCAGATCATTTCGGCAAAAAAATTTAAAAATATTTTAAATAACGATTAACTGAAATTTTATATTTAACATGTGTACAATATATATATTTACAAGTTTGCTTTAAAAATTTTCAAAAAGGTTCACAAATAATGATTATGACAATTGACACTTTTTTATGGTCATCTTTGAAATTTTAATATAACATGTTTATAATATATATTTTTACTTATTTTCTTTGAAAAAATTCAAAATAACGATTATAACAATTCCCACTTTTCTATGGTACATCTTCACTGAAATTTTAATTTAACATTTTTACAATATATATTTTTACCGATTTACTTTAAAAAAAATTAAAAAAGTTCAAAAATAACGATTATGACAATTGTCACTTTCTATGGTACATCTTCATCCTGAAACACTAAAAATAATTTATAAAATTAATTTCTTATTTTTAATATACTTAATGAGCAAGTTGTATAATGTGGTATTGAAAAATTTTATAAAATATTATCAAGATGATGATTGAAAAATGCAATAAAAATATTGGTGGATTATATTTTTAAGGATTATAATAGTAATAAAAAAAACTATTTTTCATCCCAAATAGCTAGCCTGTGTTAGACCTGTGCGCCGATGCCTCAATCGACGGCGGCGTTATTTTTTTCATCGGCGTTCGGCGGCGCGATATTTATTTTAAAAAATTTTTAATTTATAAATCAAGGTATTAAATTTTTTTATAATTTATTTTGGCGCTCTTTTCTAACAGATTGTTAACAAAGTTTGATTCATTTCTGAAATTATTTCCTGTCTCACTCCAATTTAAATTATCTTCTCATTCTCAGAAAAAGACTATGGAATTGCATTTTTACTCAGATCAGAGTTCGATAAACAACACATATTAATAATATTCTATTGATTTTTATTATAACAAATTAAAATATAAATTTGGAATGCAAGCAAAATATAAAGTATGAAATATAATAAATCAGAATTCAGACTCAGCAAAATTATAATTGTCATGAATAAATAGTATATATTCAAGATTCGTGGGACATAAAGAAGTCCTTTTTGCATTGAGTATTAATCCAGCAATGGAAAAAATTCTTTCGCTGGGCTTACTGGTTGCAGATATACAAAGAACCTTCCTAGCTAAATTAGCAAGCCTAGGAAGTTTCCGTCGTTTATCTTCCAAAAGGTTAATGTGCATCCTCTTCTGGGATATTATGTTGGCTGAGCAAAATATGACATTCTTGTTCTAGATTATAAATGTTGTTATAATCGTTGCTTGGATGGGAATGTTTACGAACTATTTTATCTATATAAGAACTAACGAGCTATTTTATCTATATAAGAACTATGCTTGCCCATTATCTTCAACTTGAATCTCATTCCGTGCATTTTTATCATGCTCTAAAAGTTTTAGATGTATATTTAAAAATTACAATGTTGTCGTAAAATTCGAATTTAAATATTCTGAAAATTTTAAGATTTTGAAATCTGGGATCAAATAGAGTCGCTAAGATCTAATGTTTAAAATATAATTTTATTAATAAAAATATAAAATAACTTGAAATTCAGTAATAGGAAACCCATGGTCAAGCTTTTTTTCATATTTTCTTAAGCAAGCAATCAGATCTTTGCTTTGTAGGGTTTCTATTTTCAATGCGAAATAATAACCCTAGTATATTGTAGATCCCTTTTGGGAGGAAAGAAATTCCACCGACTCTCGGAGATTCAATACTGCGTAAAGCTCATCAATCATATCCCATTCATTATTAAAGAGTTTTAAAGATTGTTTTCCTATTTTATTTAGAACATTATTTATAGGAATTTCGTTTACACTGCGAACACTATCTAGCATAATTAATATGCTGTGCCAGCAGGTAGGGCAATTTAATTTTAAAGTTTTTGTATTAATTAGATTAGTTGGCGCAATGCCATTTCTATTATTCGATTCATCAGACATATCAAAATGGTCATCAAAGGATGGATCAGAATCATCAATATCCAAGATATGACCTGTCTCATAAATTGACTGCAGACATTTAGGATGCTCTTTTTCAATTTCACATTCCAAATCAGCTACTCGATATCTGAGGGCTGAAATTATTTCTCTAATTTTTTTAATGAGAATATCAATAAAATGGATTATGTTTATCCGAATCTTCCTCATCTTATAAATATAAACAGGCATCATTGTGCTTTTCTTAATTTCATTCTTCAAAATAAGATTTCCAAAGTACCTTCAGACATAACTTGATTTATGATTAGTAGAGAGAGTTGTTATTTTATTGTATATAGGGTGGTTTAAAACGTGCAAGTCCATAAAAATAATTAATATGTATTGTTTGTGAAAATGAAATATGATGTAGGAATGTAAATTATATACATTATTCTATTATATATAGCAATAGAATACAATTCATATATTAATTTTATTAATGTTAATATTCAAATTTAAATAATAATAATTAAACAGCATTCTAAAAATTATATATGCCGCGCCGCCGCCATAAAAAAATTGGCAGCGAGCCGGCTCGCGCCGATGATCTCAATCGGTGGCTGTTTCGGCGTGAATAAAATTGCCAGCGGCGCACGGGTCTAGCCTGTGTGTAGTAGGACTTTTTTGCCTCTTTTATACGCCTATTTAAAAATTGACAGGCATAAAAAAATTTAATTTTTTTTATATTTATAATTTATAAATAGTTATTATTATGTCGGAAAGTTATAAATTACATAAATATATAAATTTATGAAATACTATCTATTTATTAAATCAATAATTCATTTCACAATTTAATAAAAAAATATAATTTATAAAAATATTTCCGTAAAACTTGAATTTATTACATTTTTTTTTATTTAGTTTTATATATATTCAGATACTTTCTAAATGGATCCCCAAAGACCTAATCAATGTACAAGGATTATGTTAATTAGTTGAATCAAGAACTTCAAAAAATGCCCATTTTTAACTCTAAATATTTATGATTAAGCTATAAATAAAAAATGCTTTCTACAATGATGCACAGATCGAGATCGATTGATGTTTTTATTATTCACCGAACTTATTGATTGTATGTCTAATGAAGGCATTTGGTTTAATCATAATTCGAATCAACATTTTTTACATAATAAAAATCATTCAATTAAATATAAACACATTTCAACTTAAAAAGTAAAATATATCTTCCATTCTGAGTTAATGTCATCAACGGGATTTTTGATAGTTAATTCTCTTTTATCATTATTTTCGAATGTTAAATCAAGTTGAATCTTAGATTTTTCTACTTGCAGTAAAAAAAAAGATTATAATTAAAATTTATGTATAGTATATTTACTTTGACTAGAATAATAAATTGATTTAGGATGCCTAATTCCCCTTATCACAATTTTTTCAATGCGCGTATTAGGTTTAAAATCCTGGAGATTTATAATTCTAAGTTTTTTTTTAAATAATAAAAATATAAAGTATTAATATATATAAATTTAAAATTTGATTAATATTTTTCTAAAAAAACAAATATATAAGGAAAAATTTAATCCTATTAAAATAAAATGAATTTCGCATAATTATATTTAAGAAAAATAACGTTTTAAGGAATTCCCATTAAATATTTCTTTTAATTTATACCAATGATTTATAATATGCCATAATACACTCTTTTAGGTTTACTTTGAGGATAAAATATCTTTGAAAAACTCGTATTTAGCATATAAATATTGGCCTTGTTTGTAGTCATAGCTTATACCATCATCGATGTATAACGTTCCAGATGCATAATCCTTAAAATTAAATTTAGTAAAATAGAATGTATTCTATTAACCTGTTCATTCAGTGCTACAAACAAAGTATAAGGATCCCTATCATTCGAAATGGTTGCGCTTCTACGTTGTCTCATTTTTCGGGGGATAATTGTACCACCTCTTTGAAAAACACATATCTTGATTTTAAAGAATCAAACATTAAAAAGGGTTTAATCATACTTCACTATAATTTGATATTTGAATAAAAGATTATAACATAAAAAGTGTTCTTAAAATGTCGAGTTTATTTGACACAGATCGGTAGTCGACTAACTCAGTTCTACCTTAAATCAAAAAATAAATATAATTTTATTAGCAGCGTGGCATGGCTAAAATAATCCGGCAGCATGGCGCGGCGGCGCACAGGTCTAATTTATACCAAATTTACAAGATAACATTATTTTATTTCATAAATTAATATATAACTATTATAATAATTATATAACATAATTTTACTCATAAATTTGACAAATTAATAAAAAAAAAAAAAAATTATTTGAAGATGATAGAGCATAATCTCACTTTTGCTAATTAATAATATAACAGATAGTAATAGATTTTATTTGAAATAAAGTATTAATAAATTGGGCAAAAATCTTAGTCCCAACTGTGCCCACAATAGATAGGTTTATTTGTTGACATCTTTATTTAAATAGTGATATAAATCTTTGTCAGAACCAGCTTAAAATTTTCAGACGTCACCCCAGCTAATACTGTTAAACGGCTCGATATTAAAACGGCTATCCCAATATTTTAGTCAAATATTACGCAATCCTCAAGATTTCGTTAATAGATGTCCAAACCTTTCTACCTTCTATATGCAAGATCTCCAGACTTGCATGATAGTTTTAACTAAAATAATGGGTTAGCCGTTTTTAAAAATCGAGCCGTTTAACAACACTATACCGGGCCTGGGCATTGTAGATCTCTAAAAGGAACGAGGTCAGGTTTTTTAGGTTTCATAAAGGATTTTTGATATTTTCTTTCAACCTAGATATTTTTTTTTAATAATCAAGTTTAAAAAGAATACTTTATCTTTCATTGATTTATTTTACATTAATTCTTTGGTAATAATCTAGAAAAGAAATTTCGCTCTTATAAAATATTCTCCCACCTCCACCTCAAAAAATATTCAATATGTGATAAACAATAATCATCCCGATTTGGTAAAGGGTAATTCCATGACAAATCACAAAAATAACGTGATTTTCGGACGATCATTTTCAAAAATAGACGAAACTTGGTATGAAGGTTAAATAGATTGCATATTTTATACAAATCAAAATTTTAATGCCCTAGCTCAAACATTTCTCGAGTTATGGGCCTTCAAAATTCGATGAGAACCTTTTCCTCTTTTAATGAACCTAAAAATATTCAAAATATTTTTGGTATAAAGTAACAAATTATATATTATTTTGTAGCACTTAAAATTATCCTTATGTAAATGCAAAATTATTTTTAAAATATTTTCAGTGTCGTTGTATTTCCAGTAAATCTAAAAGGAATTATTTTGAAAAGTGCCGCATTTAAAATGATGAAACTCATAAAATGTATTTATTATCAATATATTTATATATTTAAGTAAAAATATTAATGGAGAAAATGAGAATTTAAATTTTAATTAGTTTTTTACAATTTTAGGAACAAAAAATCAATTATAAAGGGCGTTTGAAACGATGAAACAACTCGAGTTGGTAGTGTAAATAAAGTAAATATAAAATATTTGCAAAATAAAAAACGAGCAATTGGTAAAAAAAATGGATTTTAATTTATTAATACAAAATAATTATTTCGAATTCGATCTCAATATAGAATTTAAATACTCATCCCCGAATTCACGATTCGAGTTCATAACTTGAGTTTAAAAATTAAGTCTATAACTCGAGTCCGTTTTGAGTCAATTTTTTCGACCCAAAACTTGACTTCAGATAGCGACTAAGACGACCAGACTTATTCGATTAACAACCTAGGTTTTAAAATCAAATACATCAATCATATCTTTGAAATGTTAATATAAATTTCAAAAGTATCATAAATTTCTTGAATGTAAATCCCAAATAAACCCACTTATCATATTCAATTACTTATAAAAACTTTCAGGTTTATTTACTTAAGCTGCTAAAATTTATTAATCTGTCCATAATATCAGGGAATAAGTTTAAAATTTCTTCAAAAAATTCAAGGGGAATATGGTCAAAAATTGATTTCCACTGTTACACAAATGGTCAATTGAACCTTTCTCTAAAATCTTGCATTCATAAAAATATCCTTCTAAATTTTGAGAATTTTTTAAAAACTACAATATGCTAGAGATCTGCTAATCCTGACCCGACCTATTTTTAAAAAATTATTTTGGTTCGCGCCCTAATATTTTTTTTAAAAAAAATGGGTGTAACCTGGCTTTTTAAATATGATATCATTTAATTTTAAAATTCTTGCAAGAAACAAGCGCCAATACTTTTTTTTACAATCCTAAAAAAGATCAAATTTTTCTATATTTAAATAAATTCGGGCCGGGTCTACAAGTAGTTTATATTTCTATTTCGGGTAGAGGTTTTCGAGACAAATAAAAAAAATTTGTTCGGAACTGGGCCGGACAAAAAAATTAGGCCCGATGCAAAGATCATTAATATAAATATTTCTATAATTATTTAGTGTGATATCATGAATATTAATCAAATTCTCCAGGAAGAGAGTGATTTTAAATGTTGTCTCGATTAACCCATAAAATTGAGTTAATGAAGTGTCATATCAACTCTTCGAAAGATCTGATCAAATATAATACTTTGTATCCTAAGATAGAAATGAAAAATTGTATTCAAACCCATTTTCACAAAGTGGCAAGACAAAATAGTTTTAAAAAATATCATTCATAAAAATCAAATTCGATTTGCTGATTGAAAATTTACAAAGTCCTCATTTCTGTTATTTTTTCAAATGCCAATACTCGAAAATAAATTTTACCAGCTGTGTAAAATAAATGTCAATGAAGTGAAAAATATAATATAGTAAAAGAACGCGTTCAAAATAAATGCCTTCGTGAACGAAGTTCGTGTTTTTGAAAAAAATAACACCGTTGCTTTTATTTTTGATAAACTTTGAACCTGTTCCTATTTCGAAGAACGCGTACGTTCATTCAATTTAAAAATTATTTTATTTTTATTAAATTGTTTTGGTAAGCCTTCTTTCCCTATGGTCTGTTCGTTCTTCTTATAATATCACTCTCCTAAATTCTATTATAGTTAATTCCTTAATGGCCATGTTTCTTACGTTTAAATACTACGGCTAATTTTAATGATTATAAAATGTTTTGCTCGGGCACCACCTCTAATAGTTGGTCGGGGATTGCTTTCCTCATTAATAAGAGAATGCAGAAATATGTCATGAAATTTGTACCCATTTCGGAAAGGTGTGGGCTTCTATACTTAAGTACGAACTTCAAGCCGACAATAATAGCAAATTTCTACGTCCCACCAAATAGGAATGAGCGTTCAGCCTTTATAGATATAATGATTAACACAATACGCTCCTTACCAGAGAGATATAACATTATAATATTAGGTGATCTAAATATGAATATTGGCAGGGAAGAGGAATATATGAACAGTAACGTCACTGGGCATGCCACATTAATTACAAAGGAATAGCGAATACAGTAAGAAATTACTTGATTTCTGTAGTAATAAAAGGTTTAAAATTGAAAACACTTTTTTTAGTCATGGAGATAGGAGTACGTACACTTTTGTAAGAGCACAGCAGAAATCACAAATCGATTTCTTCATCTCGAATATTCATCGTTAGTTCGTTGATGTAAAGGCCCTAACTAATATAAACCTATCGGATCATAGACTGCTTAGAGCAATTATTAAGGTTAAAAATTTATGGGGGTATCATAATGGAAACAGACAATCTTCATTGGACGATGCAAGATTTTTTGATCAAGTATTAAGTGGGAAAGAAGCCAACTTCTTGAATACTATTAGGTTAGAAAGTGTGGAGAAAAGTTGGAATCTTTTTAAAGATGCTCTTGTAGATACATATAAGGTCCTGCCAGAGGTAAGTCTTATCCCAAGGAATGATAGGATGTCGAATGATACTCTTGAGAAAATAAACCAGTTAAGAACAGTGAATAGCTCTAATAAGGATCTATGAAAGCTGATACAGAGATTACTGAGGAGAGATAGACGGGTCTATAGCGCAAAGAAAGCTTTTGAAATTGACAAAGATGTGAGAGAAAATAGACTATATGATGCATACAAGAAATTAAAATATTTCTGTAAACCTTGTAGCTTTAAAAAGTTACCCTCAATTGTATTAAATAATGGTAAAGTAATAATTGACCAAGATGAACAAATAGCTTTGTGGCTTGATTATTATATTAAGCTTTAAAAAGTTACCCTCAATTGTATTAAATAATGGTAAAGTAATAATTGACCAAGATGAACAAATAGCTTTGTGGCTTGATTATTATATTACGGTTTTTGACGGGCGCAAAGTAACTATACCAACCAGTTTAGATATAAATATTGATTCACCCCAGTCAGGGTTCTCGGTAGATGAAATAATGAATGTAATAAAAAAATTACGTAACAATAAAGCTCCAGGGCTCGACAACATTACTGCTGAGCACCTAAAGATAGCACCTAGAACGACATCTTCCTTTCTTCTGGCCCTCTTCAATAAAATATGGGAGAGTGGAAGTACCTCAACAGAATAGAACAAGTCCTTTTTATGTAATTTCCCCAAAACTGCAAATCCCCAAAAATTTACTGATTATCGTGCGTGCGCTCTAACATCTTGTGTGTCCAAAATATTTATGGTACTTATAAAAAATAAAATTGCTCAATCGACGCCTAATCTTTTTCCTAAATATATTTGTGCGTATAGGCCAAATAAAAATATATTGGAACCTATATTATCTCTAAAAATAATAATGCAGAAGTGTCATAAATACAAGATACCCTCATTCTACACATTCATTGATTTTAGTAGAGCATTTGACAACGTTAACCATGTAGCTCTTTGGGAAACGCTAGCAGAATGTGGTATTGAAACACAAATAATTCGAATCTTAAAAAATTACTATTCAAATTTATTTGCTTGTTTCAAAATAAACGAGAAAATCTCTCCCTTCTTC